CTTAAAAATTCAATGTTTTCACCGCCTATATGTAAATGTATAATGTTTGTTTATGTTGCTTTGCTGTGGTAGGTTTTTTGGATGCCTCAAATTGTGCCCTGTCTAGGACATGGTGTGAGAGATCTTTTTTTTATACCGTCTCTCCTCATGTTTTCTTTCCTTTTCTTATCTAAACAAAATATTATTCTGAATAAGAATAAGAAGGCCGCGCTGATTATTTTAGCCGCAGCTTCGTGCACTCCGCCCATCTTCGGACGACTGTACGTACATATTCGCGTTGTATCTCGGTGCAATGCCAATAAAGTTTATTCTGATTCTGATTCACTGTGAACAGTAATTCATTGAACGTTTATGAATAGCTAACCTCACTATGATGGTGGGAAAACAAAGTTAGCAACATGTTTTTAATGCAAGTTTAAAAAAATAAAATGCAGTAAGCTGGTTGTATAAGTGTGTACACCCTTTAAACTAATATTTTATTAAAGCAACTTCTAAATTAAATGACAGCCATAGTTCTGTTATCAATTAATGTGACTCCAATCAACCTGAAATAAAGTCCAGCTGTCCCAGCAGAGTTTTCCTGATGTTTCCTCAGTTCTATTCTACAGTAAAATCGGAGGTTCACATAGAGCTAGAACATGATGAAAAAGATCTCACTGTTAAAATGAATCAACCAGGAGAAGGTTGCAAAACATTTTCCAGGATTATATGTGTCCGATGGAACACGGTGAAGACGATTAGCAAGAAGTGGAGCAAATATGGACATTAACACTTAGCATTAACATTTCTGAGATCTTCTAAGACTGATGAAGAGACAACAAAGTTCATGCTCAATCATCCAGGTCTCAAATCCAATAATGCTCAGTCAGGTCATCTGGACAGTTTATTTTTTCTAGAGATGTTTCACCCTCTATCCGGAGGGCTTCATCAGTCTGAGGAGCTCCAAGTAAACTGTTTTCCCCACAAAGCAGTACACTCCTTTAGTGGACCAACCAGTTTGCTGGAGATAAGATGGTTTCTGGGGGCTGTCCTGTCCCCCGTTGACTCCTCCCAGGCAGGCAGCCACAGCCAAAGTGGTTCAAGACATCAAACTTCACGCTCAATCATCCTGACTATACAGAACCGGATCAAGGAGGCCAATGCTGAAGAAGTCCTGACAAATTGTGGTTGGGTTCTCCATGTGACAACAGTCTTATTAGTTCTAATGTATGGGCTATGATGTAGGGAAGCATTTTAATACGAAAAAAAGACTATGTGGACCTGGCAATTACAAAAATATATCGTCACTTAGAGCCTATGAGAAAATGTGTTCTGGTCTGATGAACCTAAAGTTGAACTTTACAGCCACAACTCCAAAAGGTCTGTTTGATGCTGAGTCATCACATGAACACCATCCACTGAATGAGAGACGTTGGTGGAACTATCATGAAGAGTTTTAGTTTATCCAAGAATTTTCAGTCAGGTCATCTGGACAGTTTCTTTTTAGTTTTAGTTTATCTTCAGCCAAATATGGGGTTTTAGTCAAGGTGAATGGAATTACAAACTGTTGTTTTGGACATGGGGCAGCACGGTGGCGCAACTGGTGGAGCTGCAGCCTCTCAGCGAGCAGGTCCTTGGTTCAAACCCCGGTCCAGGAGCTTTTCTGGGTGGAGTTTGCATGTTATCTCCGTGCATGCGTGGGTTTTCTCCGGGTACTTCGGTTTCCTCCCACAGACCAAAAACATGCATGTTAGGCTGATTGGTAACTCTAAATTGTCCCTAGGTGTGAGTGAGAGAGTGAATGGTTGTTTGTCTCGTTTGTCTCTATGTGGCCCTGTGATGGACTTGCGACCCGTCCAGGGTGTACTCCCCCCCCCCCCCCCCCACACACACACACACACAAGGTGATTGCTGGACATGGGCACGGGCGACCCCGTGACCCAAAATGGAACAAGTGGGTAAAGATAATGGATGGATGGATGGATGGATGGATGGATGGATGGATGTTTTGGACCTGTTTATTTTAGCGTAAAACCTTCAGGTCATATTTCTACGCTCGTCAAATGTGGGACGTATTATGTTATTGTCTCTATCAGTACGTCCATAAAATTTCTCTTGTCCTGCCCATAACTTCTGATTTGCTCAAGATAATTTAATTGGATAGTTTTGTTCAAGGAGGAGTGGGCAAATATATCAAGTCAAGCTTTGTCCTGCTGATAGATCCTGTTATGACAGATGTTGCTTTATAATGTTTTAGTTAAAAGGTGTGCACGTTCAGGCAACCAGATTATGGTATCATTTTATTTTTTATACTTGTTCCAACCACAATTTGTTTTTCAGTTGACTTAAGGAGACTTCATGTCTATTGTGTCAGTATGCCTCCAACTTAGTGCTGTATCTGTTGCCTCTCATAAGGACTCGAAACAAGTGGTGGAGTCCTACAAGTCCGGCTTTGAGCCCCCAGGCGATGTGGAGTTTGAGGACTATGGTCAGGCCATGAAGAGGACGATGTCTGAGACCAGCTTGTCCAACTCCAGAGAAGGCAAAGAAAAACCTGCTGGCAAGAGCAAGGGCAAACTGTGGCCTTTTATTAAGAACAAGAACAAGGTAACACACACGGACAAACTCCGAACAAGAGTTCGATTTACCGTAAACTTAAAGCTACAATGGTTTTAGTACTTTCTGCTCACATATAGGTCAGCATGCTTCTACAGGAGCTTTCTATGGGAGAGAGGGATCCTATATATCAAATGTATTATCACTTAGATTTGTAGCTTTGATCACATTTGATTTACTCTTTTTTTTACTTGTGTTAAACTAAAAACAATGTGTTGCTAGTCCTTTTAGTGTTGCCATTTTTGTTGTTATTATTTGCTACCCGTTTTCTCCCCCCTTGCAATCACCCGCACTGATGGAGCTCCTCCTCTGTAACATACACTAATGTCTACCGTCACCGTTTGGGTGGAGTAAAGTGGCAGATATTAACTGGCTGTTGGATCTGAAGTAACCCTCTTCTGTTATCAGTTTCTTTCACTGAGTGGACACTGGCCTGGAGCAGGTTTCTGCCTTTGAACACTAAAACTGATCTCTGGCTGTCCTATAGGCTGGTGCACTGTTGAATTAGACCAAATGAACTGGTAAATGTGTGTGTGTGTGTGTTGGTTGGAAAGACGGGAAGAGTGTGTGTAGTTTTATATGAGAATCTTTGACAGCAACACAACTAAACTAACTTCATAAAGGTAGAAGCTCATAGAGAATAAAGCATGCAATCATAATAATGTATGCAGTGCTGAGGTTTCTGTTGATTTTTTGGCTTTTTTTTTCTGAAGATATGAGCGTCTGAACCACCTGTCCATGCACGTGCATTGTGTGGTGTCCTAGAACTCTTCACTCTTCACTATCTCAATTCTAAACTCCCTACTTGTTGATTTTTTTAGGTTTTAGGACCAGTAATAAGCAATTACAGGTGAATTTACAAAATCTGAATATTGTGAAAAAGTTCAACTTTTTTGTCAGTCATTTCAGAAAGTGAAACTCATATAGATTTATTACACACAGAGTGAAACATTTCAAGCTTTTATTTTGTGTAATTTTGGTGATTATGGCTTACAGATAATGAAAAAACAAAATTCAGTGTCTCAGAAAATGAGAACATAGTGAAGAGATTGAATATTGTAAACTACTGGTGTCACACCCTGATCAGCTGATTACCTCCTGGACATGAGCTACACACGTCTCCTTCCTCGAGCCGAGCCACTCCTGAATCAGACGTCTGAAGCGTCTTACCTGCTGAGGAGACAAAGAACTGGACTGTTGCTCAGTGATCCAACCTCCTCTTTTCAGATTAAAGAAAATGTTCATGTTATTTGTAAATCAAGGTCCCCGAGTATGGAGGAAGAGTGGAGAGATCCAGAATCCATGTTACTGAAGCCCAGAGTGAAGTTTCCACAGTCAGTGATGGTTTGGATCCATGCCATTGGTTGGTGCTGGTCCACTGGGACTAGGACATTTTAGCATTTACCAGGACATTTTTCATGCTTCCTACTGCTGACGAGCTTTATGGAGATGCTGGTTTAATTTTTCAGCAGGACTCGGCTCCAGCCCACACTAGCTATGTTTACATGCGCAAAGTTATTTGACTGGACTGAAATGTTTTCAGATTAAATAATTCAAATATATAGTTTACATGGGCACAATCTGTTATGATGAGCGTTTACATGCAGCAAACTTTTATTCAGAATAGAACTACTGACATGTGCAGAATGGTAAACTTTCCTTAAAAAAAAACACAGAATAAGAAGTCTTACTTAAGAATCAGAATCAGAATAAACTTTATTGGCATTGCACCGAGATACAACGCGAATATGTACGTACAGTCATCCGAAGATGGGCGGAATGCACGAAGCTGCGGCTATAAATAATTAGCGCAGCCTTCTTATTCTTATTCAGAATAATATTTTGCTTAGATAAGAAAAGGAAAGAAGACATGAGGAGAGACGGTATAAAAAAAAGATCTCTCACACCGTGTCCTAGACGGGGCACAATTTGAGGCATCAAAAAAGCCTACCACAGCAAAGCAACATAAACATATGTTATACATTTGCATATAGGCAGTGAAAACATTGAATTTTTAAGGGAAAGTCGTAGCATAGTCCAGAGCCCCCCCTCAGCCATTGTCCAGATAAGAGGTTACGTTAATCTTCAGCTCAGTTGAGGTTCTGTTACATGTTCACGGCCTTGGGGAAGGGAGGGGTGAGGAAACAGTCAAAGCATCTTTGTTGTTTTCAAAACATTCCAGGAGGAGTTGAGATAAGTCCGGCGTCAAGGCCACAATTTGGGTCAGGCAGAACTCGTGAATTGTTGTTTCTGCCTTTAAAGTCTTGCTGTACATATTCTCTGATGGAGACTCCCAAACAGCTGAATTGATCCTTTACTCCAAAGTCAAGCTCACAGCTTCTCCAGATTATTCCACCATTCATGAGTGCTGCCAGGGAGATCACAGTCCTGATAACAGCTGCTCCAATTCCCTGTCACAGCTCAACATTCAGTCCGAGCACTGTCAAGCTTCAACACCCATCCATCCATCCATTTTCTTCCGCTTATCCGGGGTCGGGTCGCGGGGGTAGCAGCCTAAGTAGGGAGGCCCAGACTTCCCTCTCCCCAGCCACTTGGGCCAGCTCTTCCGGGGGAATCCTGAGGCGTTCCCAGGCCAGCCAAGAAACATAGTCCCTCCAGCGTGTCCTGGGTCTTCCTCTGGGCCTCCTTCCGGTGGGACATGTCCGGAACACCTCACCAGGGAGGCGTCCAGAAGGCATCCTAAACAGATGCCCAAGCCACCTCAACTGGCTCCTCTCGACGCCGAGAAGCAGTGGCTCTACTCTGAGTTTCTCCCGGATGATCGAGCTTCTCACCCTATCTCTAAGGGAGAGCCCAGACACCCTGTGGAGAAAACTCATTTCGGCCGCTTGTATCCGAGATCTCATTCTTTCGGTCACAACCCAAAGCTCGTGACCATAGATGAGGGTAGGAACGTAGATTGATCAGTAAATTGAGAGCTTCACCTTTTGACTCAGCTCTCTCTTCACCACGACAGACATGTTCAGCGCCTGCTTCACTACTGATGCTGCACTATCCGCCTATCAATCTCACACCCCATTATTCCCTCATTCGTGAACAAGACCCCAAGATACTTAAACTCCTCCACTTGGGGTAGGACCTCCTCCCTGACCCGGAGAGGGCACTCTACCCTTTTCCGGCTCAAGACCATGGCCTCGGATTTGGATGAACTGATCTTCATCCCGACCGCGTCGCATTCGGCTGCGAACCGCTCCAGCGAAAGCTGTAGATCATTATCTGATGAAGCCAATAAGACCATGTCATCTGCAAAAAGCAGAGATGCAATCCTAAGGCCACCAAAACAGATCCTCTCAACACCTTGGCCTAGAAATTCTGTCCATAAAAGTTATGAACAGAATCGGTGACAAAGGGCAACTTTGGCGGAGTCCAACTCTCACTGGGAACAAGCCCGACTTACTGCCGGCGATGCGGACCAGGCTCTGACACCGGTCATACAGGGACCTAAAAGCCCGTATCAAAGGGCCCGGTACCCCATACTCCCAGAGTACCCCCCACAGGGTTCCCCGAGGGACGCGGTCGAACGCCTTCTCCAAGTCCACAAAACACATGTAGACCGGTTGGGCAAACTCCCACGCACCCTCCAGGACCCTGCTGAGAGTGTAGAGCTGGTCCAGTGTTCCACGGCCAGGACGAAAACCACACTGCTCCTCCTGAATCCGAGGTTCGACTATCCGACGGATCCTCCTCTCCAGAACCCCTGAGTAGACCTTACCAGGGAGGCTTAAGAGCGTGATTCCCCTGTAGTTGGAACACACTCTACGGTCCCCCTTTTTGAATAGGGGGACCACCACCCCGGTCTGCCAATCCAGGGGAACTTCCCCCGATGTCCACGCAATATTGCAGAGTCGCCTAAGCCAACATAACCCTACAACATCCAGAGCCTTAAGGGACTCCAAGCGAATCTCATTCACCCCTGGGGCCCTGCCACCGAGGAGCTTTTTAACCACCTCGGTGACCTCAGCACCAGAGATTGGAGGGCCCGACCCAAAGTCCCCAGGCTCCGCTTCCTCAGTGGAAGACTGAGGCACGGTGGGATTGAGGAGGTCTTCAAATATTCCGCCCACCGACCCACAACATCCCGAGTTGAGGTCAGCAGCACATCACTCCCACTATAAACAGTGTTGGTGGCGTACCGCTTTCCCCCCCTGAGATGCCGGATGGTGGACCAGAATCGCCTCGAAGCCGTGCGGAAGTCATTCTCCATGGCCTCTCCGAACTCCTCCCATGCTCGAGTTTTTGCCTCAGCGACCACCCGAGCCACATTTTGCTTGGACTGCCGGTACCCATCAGCTGCTTCCGGGGTCCCACAGACCAAAAATGCCAGATAGAAGTCCTTCTTCAGCCTGATAGCATCCCTCACCGACGGTGTCCACCATCGGGTTTGAGGGTTGCCGCCGCGACAGGCACCGACAACCTTACGGCCTCAGCTCCGGTAAGCCGCCTTGACAATAGAGGTACGAAACATGGTCCACTCTGACTCAATGCCCCCCACCTCCCTCGGCGGTGGGGGACATTGCTTCAACACCTCCACATGAATTTGTAGACAACCAGATTTCACTAACCAAACAGTAGAATCTAGTTGTTATCATGAATCCAATTTGTTCCTTAGAGGTAGAGAGTCCTCCTTACCCTGACTCCTGATGGGAGAAGTGGATCGATTTTGTCGAGAGACCAGCTGATCCTTCCAATTAAGAGGATGAGCGTAAACAAACCTTGTTATGAATGCGGGTGTACCCGGACGAAAGACCAGAACTGAACAGACACCAGGACTCAGATAATAGTTTACAGTGTTTATTTACAGGTTTGTGATAAATAAGACATCAATGAGGGAACGGGAACACCTGGGGAGAGAGCGGAAATTTAAAGGGCTGTGGTTGGATGAGAATTTATCTTGTTGAATAGTTCTTACGGTGTGTAGCAAGAAACAGAATGGTAAATGGATGGTAAATGGACTGTACTTATATAGCGCC